GATCCCTATGCCTTGGTTATTTACTTATCTCATCCCAGCGCCGATGTCCATCGACGCTGCGTTGAAGCTCTGCCTCCTCCGTCCGCGACAAGCGGGGTCTAATGCACATGCATAGCAAATGCCGCGTGCGCCTTAGACCTCCCCGTAGTAAAGTATTGAATCAATGCTTTCCTATGGGGAAAATCTGACGCCGGAGGTCCTTATTCACTGCCAGGAGTGCCCTTTAAAGGCACTCTTGGCACCAGAACCACTATAGTGTGCTTTAGTTGACATGTTCCTTTATGGGTTTGAAGCATTTATATCATACAACTTCAATTTTAACCCCTTAGTGACGAGACCCATTTTAAATTTTCTTACCGTTTTGGACCAGGGCTGTTTTTACATTTCTACGGTGTTTGTGTATAGCTGTAATTTTCCTCTTACTCATTTACTGTACCCACACAGATTATATACCATATTTCTCGCCATTAAATGGTCTTTCGAAGATACAATTTTTTTTCATCATATCATATAATTTACTATAAAATAAAATATAAAATGTGATGAAAAAAATGTAAAAAAACACTTTTTAGAACTTTGACCCTCAAAATCTGTTACTCATCTACAACTGTCAAAAAACATCCGTGCTAAATAGTTTTTACATTTTGTCTTGAGTTTAGAAATGCCCAATGTTCTTAGCATGTTTTTGGGAAGTTATAGGGTAATAAGTACAAGTAGCACTTTGCCATTTCCAAACCATTTTATTTCAAAATTAACGTAAGTTACATTGTAACACTGATATCTGTCAGGAATCCCTGAATAACCCTTCACATGTAAATAGTTTTTAAAAGACCACCACCTAAGGTATTAAACTTTGGGTATATTGACTCTTTTCATGCAACCATTTTTCCACCAATCTATGCCAAATTAAAAAATATATATATAATTGGTGATTTTTTTTTTGACACACATAGCAATTTAAGAATACATGTACTGAGAACTTTAAGCGTTACTGCCAAAGAACACCCCAATATGTGTTCAGCAACATCTCCTGAGTACAGTGATGCCACCCATGTATAGGTGTGTCAGGTTCTCTGGGGGCCAAAGGACCATATTTGGAGCGTGCGCAATCCAGTTTTCCATCTTGGAATTTTCGCAGCTGGTCATCATGCACCCATGTCCTATTTGGGACATTTTTGAAGCCGGCCAATGTAATTTACCCCCATCAAATCATATATATTTGAAACGTAGACAACCCAGAGTATTCAATATGGGGTATGTCCAGTCTTTTTTCGTAGCCACTTAGTCACAAACACTGGCCAAAGTTATCATTTAAATTTTTTTGTGTTACAAATGCAAAAAACAATTATGAACGCTAACTTTGGCCAGTGTTTGTGGCTACTAAAAAATACTAAACATACCCCATTTGCAATACCTTGGGTTGTCTTCTTTTGTAAATGGTATGCCATCATGGGGGTAATTCTCATTCCTGGGCTACCATACTCTCTCAAAGGCAACATAATCATTCTGGCAAATTTCAATGTGAAAAAAGGGCCTTATATTTGACCCTGTAACTTTCAAAAACACTATAAAACCTGTACATGGGGGGTACTGTTATATTTGGGAGACTTCGCTGAAAACAAATAATATTAGTGTTTCAAAACAGTAAAACATAGTATAACAATGATATCATCATGAAAGTGCCGTTTGTGTGTAAAAAATACAAAAAACGTCACTTTCACTGACAATATCATAGTTGTGATATGTTTTACTGTTTTGAAACACAAATATTTGTGTTCAGCGAAATCTACCGAGTAAAACAGTACTCTCCATGTACAGGTTTAGGGTGTCTTGGAAAGTTACAGGGTTAACTACAGTGCTAGCAAATTAAATTCTATGGACTTTTGACCTGGGTTGTTGGGCAGATCCCCCAAATTGCAATCAATAAAATTACTTAACTAGAAAAGCTACAATTTCTGGGGAAATTGTGTGAAGTGTTCTTGCCTCCACCAGTAGTCCACAACTGGAGTGGGCGGAGTAACTGTTATCATTTATATAGCACATTTAATTGCAACGTTGTTGCACAGTTACATTAAACCATACATTTATAAAAACATTAGCAGGTGTTCAAAAGGCCCTGTCTATGACCACTTGCTGCTGCAGCCTGACACAGGTCAGAGTATTTTGGCGGTTGCCATCTTCAAATGGTCGTATTTTAAAAACTATAAATCCTACAGCGAAGAACTTTATACTGTGAGAATCACAAGACCCAGACCTACATTTTGATGCATAGTATGTCTCTGAGGTATTAAAAATGAAGGCACAGTCGCAGTGTAGAAATTGCCCTTCAAGTTTGAGCTGGCGTGAGTGAAGTTTCAATGAATGTCAATGGAAGGCATGAGTTGCAAACAAATGGTCATATTATGAAATCTATCAGGACTATGGCTTAGCCGTGGACATTTCTAGTGGCAGCAGGGATAGCTGAACGTTTTGATATAATATTTGTGTAGGTGGGCTTGAAAATGAGGGAGTGGTGGCAGTTTAGAAATAATTTCCTGATTTTTCAGCTTTTGCCAGCTCCCACTCTAGCTTTGCCATTCATTCCTATGGGACAAATTTCGCCACAAGAACGACGATATTCCGTGAACCATTCGGCGAAACGTTCCACAAAGTAATAGCAATCCGATCGGGAACAATCTGCACGTTTTGGTAAACTTTTGTCTATGTAGTGTAAAAACTGTGGGAGGAGTTAGGGTGGCAAATTTTGCTATAATAAGAATAATAATAATAACTAGAAAAGCTACAATTTCTGGGGAAATTGTGTGAAGTGTTCTTGCCTCCACCAGTAGTCTACACCTGGAGTGGGCGGAGTAACTATTATCATTTATATAGCACAGTGGTAGTCAACCTTTTTCCACTTACCGCCCACTAATGCATCTTTCTTGATGGAAAAATTTCCTTACCGCCCACCAGTTTTCGCGCAAGCGCGGAATATTTTTTAGAAAGGAGGGTGTTTTAAAAAATACATAAATGAACGTACATTTATCTTTTTATTTCTACTTTATGCATGTTTATAATGTTTTTAACTTTAAAAAGTTTAATGAGGAAGCAATAAAGTAAATTGAACTTACCTTTACTAGAGGTTGATGCTGCGAGACTAAATATTTGATATCTGGTTCGATTTTCATAAGGAACAAACGAAGGTCTCCTCTTTCAGTGATAATCGGAAGACTTCTTTGTTTGCTCATAAAATGATTTCTCATCTGTGCGTCAGCTCCCCTCCTCTCCCTCCTCAATTCCCCTTCCCACCTTTTTCCCTTTTTTCTTTTTTAACCTTCCTTATAGCAATGCCCAGTAGGAAGGCTGAGCTAGGTAGCCCACTTACTATTATTAGTCAACAACAATTCTCTCCTTTTCCTTTTCTTTCCTTCTCCTTTTTTACAAGTACTCTACTCCTTTTTCCTCTATACTAGAAGTACTCTACTCCTTCTTTCCCCTATACTAGAAGTACTCTACTCCTTTCCCCTATACTAGAAGTACTCTACTCCTTCTTTCTCCTATTCTACAAGTACTCTGCACCTTCTTTCTTCTATTCTACAAGTACTCTGCTCACAGGCAAACACATACACACACACACACACACACACTCACATTGAAACACATACACACAAATATACACATACTCACACATGCACTTACAGACACTCACACATGCACAGACAGACCCACAGACACACACACACTTACTGACACACACACATACACTTACAGACAGACACATACACTTACAGACAGACACATACACTTACAGACAGACACATACACTTACAGACACAGACACACACATACACTTACAGACACAGACACACACATACACTTACAGACACAGACACACACATACACTTACAGACACACACACATACACTTACAGACACACACACACATACACTTAGAGACAAACACATGTACACACAAATTATTAATATTAAATATCCACCCAGCCTCCCTACCTGGAGAGCTGGTGTGGATCTGTCCCTGGGGTCCAGTGGGCTTCACTTAGGCGGGCGGCTAATCAGACGCAGCGAGGGAGCTCTAACCTCTCTGCTCTGCTCCCTCGCGGACTGTCTACGGATGCCGGGAGCCGGAATATGACATCATATTCCGGCTCCCGCGGCATCAGCAAACATCGCGCGAGGGAGCAGAGCAGAGAGGTTAGAGCTCCCTCGCTGCGTCTGATTAGAACGCTGCCATGCCGGGGGTCCAGAAGGTGGCCTGGCAGGAGGGAGCGCTTCCTCCTGCCGGTCACTGAAGACTTGCGCATGCAGAGCCGCTCGCGCCCGCCCAAAAGGAGAAATCCTCTTAAAAAGAGGATTTAGCCTCAGAAATCCCTACCGCCCACCTGGAATCCTAAAACGCCCACTAGTGGGCGGTAGGGACCAGGTTGACGACCCATACCGCCCACCTGGAATCCTAAAACGCCCACTAGTGGGCGGTAGGGACCAGGTTGACGACCCATGCCCTAGTGTGATAGTAGTAGCAGTTTCAACAGCCATTGCACATGCTATCAATGCTCTGAGACACGCCGGCATACCCTGTACCGGAGCTCGAACTACTTTGGAAAAGAATGCTATGGGACGCATACCGCCTCCTTGCTCTTGTGCACAGACTGCGGCCATGGTTTTACAATTGTCCCAAACATACAAATGAAATGGTTTACAATACACAGGTAGTCCTAAAGCCTGGGCTTGCACAATAACAACTGTAAGGGCAATATATGCAGCTAGCATGTCTGGTGACCAGCAGACATTTTCAGGGCTGTCAGAACGTACAGCCTCCCTTAGGACTGAGTCATAATGGGAGCATTCAGGGATCCATTGGCGGCAGTAATTAATCATGCCGAGGAAGGTGAGCAACTCCTTCCGAGTAGTGGGTGTAGGAATTCTCTGAATGACCTCAATACGTTTTGGACTCAATTGTCTGGTGCCTAAAGCCAGAACAAAACCTAAGTATTCAACCTTTGATTTACACAATTGCATTTTGTGTTTAACAACCTTGTGACCTATAGTTGCTGACAGTATCCACAGTGCTTGCCTCATAGCTAGGGCTACATAACAACAAATCATCAACATTTTGCAAAAAGGACAGAACCATGACCGGTGGTCCATGTTTTTTAGAGTATGTTGGAGTACCAACGAATAAACAGCTGGGGAATCCACATAGCCTTGGGTAAGCGTGTCCAGGTAAACTGACAGCCTTCAAAAGTAAAAACCATAAGTAGCTGTGTCTCTTGATCAATAGGTATAGAAAAAATGCATTACTTAAATCAAATGACAGTGAAGCAAGTGGCATCATGTGGAATGGCTGTAATGAGGGATGTCACATCAGGGACAATGGGTGAAATGGGCACAATTAAACTATTCAGGGCTCTAAAGTCCTGAACTAAGCGATATGCTGGCCAGTGGTGTTGGGAGTGGGTCTGGTGTTGTTCTTGCCTACCGGGCATATTTTGAGAAAGGTGGGGTTGTTGGGGTGTGTGGGGTTTCCTGGGGTTTCCTGGGGTGTGGGCACTCATTCCTCCAGTGGCCATATTGGCCACAGTTGAAACAAGTGTTCCTGTCTATTCCTCCTTGGTTACCCCTATAACCCTGATTTCCCTGTCTCCATCCCCTTGCTCCTCTTTGACCACCCCTTCCACGGGCTTTATGTGCTCCATCCCATCCTTGCTCTCATCCTGTGTAGGTGGACAGTGTTGCAATCCCTGAGCATAATAAGCAACCTTACTTTCCTAAATCTTTTCTTAATTCAGAACAACCTGCATTTTCCTTTTCTATAACCTTGGTAAGAAAATCTGAGCTATCCAAATTGTCCCAGTCTGAAATCAATTGTTTCACAAACAAAGAATACTGTGGCAACATATTACCAAGGCATGACTGTATTTTAAAGATATCTATATCATCTCCAGACATCAAACCTGCCTCATCCTTCCAACACTTGTAAAATTTCTTTACAAAAATCATATTACCAATCTCTTCCTTTGCATCTTGCTTATATGCCAAAGCAGTGAATATAGACTGCTTATTCTTCCATAATCCCAACATTTCAGCTTCCACCTTGTTCCAAATTTTAGCACATCTTACTGAAGTACTAAGCTCATAATCACCAATTCATTTCAAACCATATAACTCATACTCAGCATCCAATGTAATATTACACGTCATCTCACAAAACAATATCTTTGTAAAAACACATAATGGGTACCCAGCAGATATGCCAATACAGAAATCACATTTATGGGCACACAACTACACACTCTGTCTCCCTCCTAGGAAACACAGATAGACACAATATAAACGCAATCTTAAACTAACACCTCCAAATCTCCAACTATTCTTGGCCAAAACGCTAGTATTCAACAACTAATAAAACAGTTATTTGCTTGAAACCACGGAGCAACGCAGGGAGGAGTGGGCCTTGACAGAGCCAGGAGTAGGCAGGGTGAAGTTCAGGTCAAGAGGCTGTCCTGTGATTGTGCTGGGGGGCGTGGGTTAGAAGGGAAGTTTAAATAGCGGCCATTTTAGGGTAAGTTCATTCTAACTTGAGCCTTTCTTACCTGTAAATTGTTGCAGGTCGGTTGGGCTCCTCTTTTCTTCTTTTCCAGGTGTCATTAGAAGAACTTCTGTCGGGTCTGCGGTCCGTGGTGCAGGAGAAGGGAATGGCGTGGCTACAGGAGCAGCTGGGGGTTCCGAGCACGTCTGCTCCCCCCCATGCGGTGCCGGATCGGAGGCCGGAGAGGAGAGCTAGGCCGCCCCAGCGGCTTAGTCCTGGAGCGGGTCCTGCAGCCAGACGGAGGAGGAGCTCGGCGGGAAGCAGTGCGGCGGCCGGAAAGCAGGGACGTGGAGCGGGTCGTCGGCCGGGACCGCCAGCTAGGCGCAATGCCGGGGCGGTGAGGTTGCAGGCCAGGAGGAGGCCTCCCTTGAAGGGCGCCCCCTGCCGGAAGGCGGCGGGCGGGCAGGCGGAGCTGACAGCTGGTGCCGGAATGGAGCAGGACGGAGGGGAGTCGGCTGCAAGACCCAGGAGCAGCCCTGGACGTCCCGGTGAGTCGCCCCCTGGGGGCAGCACTGTGGGGCAGGAGGGATTGAGAGGGGCTGGCAGTGGCAGGACAGCGGTCTCACAGGTTGGGGAGAGGGACCAGGTCAGCAGGGCACGGCAAGAGGCGGCTGGAGTTGGAGGCAGGAAGGATAGCGCTGCGGATCCAAGGGATCAGAGGAGCATGGCCAGGAGCTTGGGAAGAAGGGGAGACGGGCACAGCATCGGCAAGTCTGGGGACCCAGGAGACAGGAGGAGTGGCAGTATGGAGCGGAGTGGCAGCAGGCGGGTGACTGGCCAGGAGGACGGCGGCACCCAGGACAGCAGTGGGCGGGAGGCCTCTAGGGGTCGATCCCAGGAGCGGCTCGATAGGAGGAGCGCCAGCAGAGGGAATGGCGGAGGATGGCAGCGCGGAAGGGCAGAATGGCGGGACAGCAGGTCAGGGTCTGCAGGCAATAGGAGACATGGGAACGGGAGCCCAGCAGGGAACCGGAGCAATAGGAGGAGGTCAGCTTCTCGGGACAGGTGGCTACGGCGCCGGCGCAGTGAGTCAAGGTCGTCTGAGAGGAACCACACGGCACGGAGGAGGAGAGGTAGCGAGCGGGAGGGACGATGCAGGCAGGGAAGTGGTGAGGACGGGTCTGATCACGGGAATGAAGGGCGGGTGAGGCTGCAGTCGGACAGATCACCCAGGCTGTATTCTCCTTGCAGGTCGTTGAGTAGGACGCCCACGAGAGCAACACACGAACAGGCGGGCAGGAGTCGGCGTCCCCTGGTTCCTTCTGGGTCGGCTGTCGTGGTGGAAAAAGTGGCGCCCCCGCGGCTAGCAGCGGCCGGGGGCTTGAGCGGTGAGTCTCCAACTGCATCACACACAGGAAGCTTACTTGGATGTTTAAGATCTCTGTTAGATTCATGGTCTGGGGACGGGGGGTCTCCGACACAGTTTGAGAAAGTGTGGGTTGCGGACGGCGGTCGGGCAACAGGGGTGAAGGACGCAGCGTCAGCGGAGCCGAAGGGGGGTGAGGGCACCGCAGGGACGGGTCAAGGAGCGACGTGTGACGTGGGTGAGCATGTCGTTCTCGGCGGGGAAGTAACGGATGCGGCGCGGCAAAACGTGCATGTGTCTTTTGCGGGACCGCTGGGGTGCCACTTAAAGGTGGAAGTTAAGGATAAAATTTGGAAAGGGGAATTCGTGGAAATATTTTCCCTGCTTCCCCTGGAGGAGTTTTTAGATTTGAAAGAAGAGGATAAAAAGGATGCGAAAAAGGAAGAGGAGGAAAAGAAGCGGAGGTATCGGAAGATACCCAAGTCTTTTGGGAACTGGTTGAGGGCTTTTTGTATCTTGGCGAGCGTGATCGGGGAAAAATACCCGGATCGCTGTTCGCAGCTTTTTTGTTATTTAGACGGGATAGGGGACGCATATCGGACCTATGGGGGTTTAGCATGGTGGAAATATGACGAACAATTTCGTCAGCGATTGGCGGCAAACCCGTCCATGCGGTGGGACCAGATGGACTTGCCTTTGTGGATGAGGCTGATGATGGCACAGAAAAGTGCCCCCTTTCTCGGAGCGGCCGGCACGGGCTCAGGTACCGTGTCGGCAGGTCAGAAGAAAGGTTTCTGCTGGCTCTACAATGAGGGCCAATGCAAGTGGGGTGCATCTTGCAGATTTAAGCACGAGTGCTCCGGTTGCGGGGGTAATCACGGAGTTTCCAGGTGCTTCCGAAAAGGTAAGCCGAACTTGGGAGGAGGGGTTGTCGGCACATCAACAGCTGCGGCTGCAGCTGGGAGCGTCGCCGGTGAAGGTAAGCGCGATGCTGCCTTGGTTAAAACTATACGATAATCAGGAGGTGGCAAAGTTTTTACGGCTGGGTTTTACAGAGGGTTTCAGGATTCCGTTTCAAGAAAGGGCTGCGGGTGGGTTATGTAAAAACCTTCGGTCAGTGGGGGAACATCCGAGCATAGCTCGGGAAAAGTTAGGTAAGGAAGTGCAATTAGGGAGGATGGCGGGACCATTCGCTTCCCCGCCGTTGGTTGGTTTGCGGGTGTCTCCACTTGGGGTAGTCCCCAAGAAGGAGGCGGGTAAATTTCGTATGATCCATCATTTATCGTACCCACAAGGTACATCGGTTAATGATGATATCGACGAGGCCCTGTGTTCTGTTTCCTACACATCATTTGACAAGGCTGTCGAGTTGGTTAGGAGAGCGGGACAAGGGGCTCTAATGGCGAAATTGGATGTGGAGGCAGCTTTCCGGCTGCTTCCCATACACCCGGATTGTCATCACTTATTGGGGTGCTATTTCGATGGGGGGCATTTTGTGGACTTATGCTTGCCTATGGGTTGTGCCATCTCGTGTGCTTACTTCGAGAGGTTTAGCACCTTTTTGGAGTGGGTCGTATGACGGGAATCGGCTGGGGGTGCTGTGGTGCACTACCTTGACGATTTCTTATGCGTTGGCCCACCACGCACGGAGCGCTGTAGCCAGGTGTTGAGGACCTTCCAGCGGGTGGCGCACACATTTGGGGTGCCGTTAGCAGAGGACAAAACGGTGGGGCCCACTACGTGCCTCAGCTTCCTGGGTTTGGAGATCGACTCGGTACGGAGGGAGTGCAGGTTGCCCGGGGACAAATTACATGCCCTTCAGCGGCTAGTGGACACGGTTGGTAGGGCGAGGAAGGTCACATTGCGTGAACTTCAATCGTTGATAGGGAGCCTGAATTTTGCGTGCCGAGTGATCCCCATGGGGAGGGTCTTTTGCAGACGATTGGCGCGGGCGACAAGCGGGGTGAGAAAACCGTCGCATTATATTAGGGTGTCAGTGGACATGAGAGAGGACTTGGAGGTATGGGCTAGGTTTTTGAGGGAGTTTAACGGGAAAGTGTTTTTTCGGGAGCCGTTGGGAACCTCCACGGCCATGGGTTTGTTTACGGATGCATCAGGCAGCATCGGTTTTGGGGCGTACCTAGCGGGTAAATGGTGCGCGGAGGGGTGGCCGGAGGCATGGAAAGTGAGCCCCTTGATTAGGAACTTGGCCTTTTTGGAGTTTTTCCCGGTTGTTGTGGCAGTGGCGTTATGGGGTCCGGAGTTAGCCAATAAGAGGGTGGTGTTCAATTCGGATAACATGGCAGTGGTGCAGGCTATCAACGGATTATCGGCTTCTTCATGGCCAGTGGTACGGTTGTTGAGGCAATTGGTTCTCTTGTGCATGTCTTTTAATATTGTGTTTCGCGCTCGGCATATACCGGGGCTTACCAATGTTGTCGCTGACGCGCTGTCTCGCCTACAGTGGGAGCGTTTTCGGGAGGCGGCGCCGGAGGCGGAAGAAGAGGGTCAGGCCTGTCCGGCGGAGATGTGGGAGCTCGGGACGTCTTGCTTGGGGAGTACATAAAGAAGTCTCTGGCGCCTGGGACTTGGTTCTCCTATGTTAAGGTCTGGCAAGTGTGGGAAGACACGATGCAGCAGGTAGGGGTGACGGGCCCTGGGAGCAATCGGCTGGACATACTGTTATGGATCCTATGCCGGTTGTTCGCAAAGCAAGCGTCGCCATCAATGGTTGATAGGTACATGTCAGCATTGGCGTTTTTGTTTAAGTTTAATGGATGGGAGGATGTGACGAAGCATTTTATAGTGAGGCAAGCGGTTCGGGGATACAGGAAAGGTAAGAAGACGAAGGATACGAGAAGACCAGTCTCCTTCACAGTGTTACAGGGGTTAGTGAACAAACTACCTGAGATATGTTTTTCTGTGTTTGAAGTGGCGTTATTTACAGTAGCTTTTTCGTGGGCCTTTTTTGGGGCGTTTCGGATTGGTGAGTTGCTTAGTGCCAACAAGAAAGGGGTTGGTGGGCTTAGGTTGGAAGATGTGACGGTCAGTAGGGACAGGGTGTTGATCCACCTGATTCAATCAAAGACGGATGTATTTGGTAAAGGTTCCATGGTCACGTTGTTTGGTTTACCAGGGTCGGGGTTGTGTCCGGTGGCAAGTGGGGCTGGGTTTTTGGAACTATGCCCGATAGGGAGCGGTTGTTTCTTCATACATGCCGACGGCACGGCACTGTCGCGCTTCCAATTTGTGCGGGTTTTCCGTTTGGGATTACAGAAGTTGGGTCTGGAGCCCATGCAGTTTGGAACACATTCATTCCGAATAGGCGCGGCGACAGAAGCAGCTCGCTTGGGTTTAGGGGATGAGCGGATTAGACGAATTGGGAGATGGGAATCTCTCAGGTTTCGCTCTTATGTACGGCCAGATAGGCTGGTGTGAAGGGGTGGTTGATTGTGGGTGTTTGGGATGTGCTGATGATGTTTCCTCAATGTTATGTTTTATTTTAGGTTGGACGGTGTGGATAATTGGCCATTCGTATATCCATTGGGCAAGGAGGAGGGCCGCAGTTAGAAGACATGGAACACAGCTGAGCTTTCCTGAGGATCGGGTGGCGTTATTCTGGTTCGGTTATCGGGGGTTTGACTGGCAGCACATTATTACGGTATTGTTTCGGAAGGTAGCGGAGGAGCCCTTGCCGAACGTGGTGGTAATTCACGGGGGGGGAACAGACTAAGGGGGCTTGTCCCTGGCGTGAAAGTGGTATGGTCGGAGATGGTACCTCGCTTATGCTGGAGATACGCCAGGGATGAGAAGGCAGTTTCTCGATGTCGGGGTAAAGTGAACAGGACCATGGCGGTGTTCATTCGAAGGTTAGGAGGCGTGGTGGTGAGGCATCGGGAGTTGGAGGAGAGATTACCAGGTTACTTTCGTGATGACGGGGTGCACTTATCGGATGTTGGTTATGACCTTTTTAATTTAGGTTTGCAAGACGGGATAGCGCAAGCCCTGTTTTTGTGTGGTGGGGGTCGCACATGTCCTTAAGGGGTAAAGGCAAGTGCTGTGGCGGAAAAGGTCTTGGTTAAACTGGAATTTTGGTGGGTTAAGAAATTGGTAGGCCAAGGTCTAGGCTGGAGTAGGCCGGAAGTCAAAAGTATGGAGGTAGGTTCGAGCCCGTCGGTGGCTACGAACCAAGGGGTGTAGGGGTGTCTGGGTACACCCCTGCAGTTAGACAAATGGAGGTGGGGCCTCTTGGTAGGCTGTGAGTTACGTGTATGTATTATTGGTTATGCTAATGTTTGTTTTGGTAGGGTCATTGTCGGGGGTATGATACAGGAGAGAGCCTAACGAAAAGAGTACTGTTGACAATGACCCTAAATTGTTAATTTATATATTGATATTAATTAATAAAGCTGTGGACTTCATACTCCAACAGAACTTTTGGTGTCTGCGTGTTATTAAAGTATGGTTGGCACATGCCGAATAACGACTGTGCAATAATGTCATGAAACCACGGAGCAACGCAGGGAGGAGTGGGCCTTGACAGAGCCAGGAGTAGGCAGGGTGAAGTTCAGGTCAAGAGGCTGTCCTGTGATTGTGCTGGGGGGCGTGGGTTAGAAGGGAAGTTTAAATAGCGGCCATTTTAGGGTAAGTTCATTCTAACTTGAGCCTTTCTTACCTGTAAATTGTCCCTCCCACCCACCCTATGAGTTAGTAGTAGTTCCCGTTTGGTCACAGCGGCGGGAAAAGGTCTTGGTTAAACTGGAATTTTGGTGGGTTAAGAAATTGGTAGGCCAAGGTCTAGGCTGGAGTAGGCCGGAAGTCAAAAGTATGGAGGTAGGTTCGAGCCCGTCGGTGGCTACGAACCAAGGGGTGTAGGGGTGTCTGGGTACACCCCTGCAGTTAGACAAATGGAGGTGGGGCCTCTTGGTAGGCCGTTGAGTTACGTGTATGTATTATTGGTTATGCTAATGTTTGTTTTGGTAGGGTCATTGTCGGGGGTATGATATAGGAAGAGAGCCTAACGAAGGAGTACTGTTGACAATGACCCTAAATTGTTAATTTATATATTGATATTAATTAATAAAGCTGTGGACTTTATACTCCAACAGAATTTTCTGTGTCTGCGTGTTATTAAAGTATGGTTGGCACATGCCGAATAACGACTGTGCAATAATGTCAAGGTTATTTGGCTGTCATTCTTATCAGTATCACTAGACTGTGACAAACTGATTCACATATAATTTAAAACAATACAGCAACATAAATTAAACCACTTTCAAGTTAAACTGCACACTTATCACACATTATCACAATCACCATTTACACAAAATAAACAGTTAACAGCTGTATTCAGAACATATTATTGGAAGGTATACCAATTTTAGTTTAGATTTATTTTAGGGATTCTTATGTATACATTTTCTTAATTAACTTCATTACTTTAATCTACTATAGTATTGTATTTAAAGAAAGGATCCATTTATATAGCGCGCTCATAACTCAACTATTTGTATAAAACTACCATTAACTAATCTGAGATGATGCTGCATCAACTTAAATCTTACAGAAATTGAACAAACATCTGGACCAGATTAAACAGACATGGTTTCACCTGAATCTTTCAGAACTCTCAGAGACTTAAAAATTTATACTGTACCATGTTTTAAAGGCATGGCAAACCTTTAGACCGGTCAGTCTCCAAGAGCCCTTAGTAACACAGGTAAAAACCTTTTGTCCATGATGTCTGATTCAGGCTATATACCACAATTTAAAATAACACATAATGTGAGACATAGAAGACACAAGCAGTAGTTATTACACTGGATCATTTAAAAGGAACCTGTTGCAATAAAAAGGTTAGTTTACAGTGCAAAATAAAGCATGTGTTGGACCGCTGAAAATGTAAATGTTGCTCTTTATTTTCAAACAAAAATTATATTTACAGTATGGATCCTTTGCAACAAACACACAGGGCAGGGAAGAAGTGCTGATTGGTGTTTCTATACAATTAATCCCATATGGGGAATTAACTTCCAAATACTAATGAAGTGACTTTTTGTCTCAGTTATAAAATATACTGAGCTCATCATGCAAACAATGCAACACATTTACACTATCCCACTCTCATAATAAGTGTAGTGGGCTTATGGTATTTTTAAAGCAGCAATCATACCAGGCACATAGATCCCATGTGAAATAACTTACAATAAAACAGAGTAATAAACTTATACTTCTATGCGACAGAAAGAATAAAGCAAAAAGATTTAAGTAGGTCTATCAGGTACAACCTGTGAGTCATTTCTTTTCTAATATACAGTACTGCTATCTTGCAGAAAGATAAGTCCTGCGCTCACTCCCATCACTACTGGGCAGCAGCAAGGACTACAGTACACATCAGCCCCAATATATGGTAAAAACCAAAGAAAAACAAGTTACCTGCGTTCTCTCCTTAATCCCTATGTATTTTTAAAACCTCCATTTGTTTAAAAGTACTGCTATCTTATATATACACATATACATATACACACACATATATACATACATATACACATATATACATACACACACATATACATGTACATATATTGGTCACTCAGGACATGAACTCACATTTCCCATACTGCTGACTCAGAGTGGGGACACTACTAACTTACCAAAGTGTGTCCCCAATATAGACAAACAATCACCCACAAAAAACACTTAAGACAAACAAAGGTGACCGGGAGAAAGAGAAGTTTGGGTTATACTTATAGATCTACAAACCGTGCTGCTCAGAACACCTATAGACTTAATAAACCGGAGACCTCTTATGGTCTCAAAACCTGTATCTACCTGAGATACCCTGTATCTATCTTAGATACTAACCTGGGTTACCAAAACCCTATAATAAACCGGAGACCTCTTATGGTCTCAAAAACCTGTATCTATCTTAGATACTAACCTGGGTTACCAAGAACCCTATATATATTTAGACCAAATGTCTAATAAACCGGAGACCTCTTATAGTCTCAATATAACTAGAGTCCTTACACCTTTCCTATCTACTGGATACAGACTTACTGAACCAAAGGGGGTCATAGACAATCAGCGTCAAATAAGACACAAAAAGGCTACTCACCGCAAATGGTTTTGCTGATCCAACTTCTATCCCACTTCTAGACACCAAGCTGAAAGGGTTAATGTTGTAATGGACTCTAATCCCCTCGGTTCTCGATCCCTCGGTCACCATAATCAATGTTGATGGAGAATCATTTGTAAGCAATAACACACGGACAACAGCTTTACAAGACTCTCAAATGAGTGTATTCCAGAGCTGGCTTTTATACATAGTGTGCTTACATTAGCCATGGTATATGCAAATACAGTACAGACTATAAGATTTATTACTTCCTTATATTACGTTATTCTGACAATGGAAAGATAAGCTTTTGCATACGTCTGGAAAAGAATATCCTTAAAATCGGAATGGGCAAGACATCCTGAAATTTAGCATTGTCTTACATCCTATAGAAGAAATACCTTAGTCTGTCACAGTCAGCATATTATGTAAGTATTCAATATCCCTTCAGTCAGCAATAATCATGTTATAAACCTTATAAAAGCATAAAATACATATAAACAAGTTAACTATTTAATATTCTTACACATGGAGTCTGTTTCTGACCGTTTGAGCAGACACATGCACATTTGTGGCCTGCTGGAGGTCATTCTGCAGGGCTCTGGCAGTGCTCCTCCTGTTCCTCCTTGCACAAAGGCGGAGGTAGCGGTCCTGCTGCTGGGTTGTTGCCCTCCCATGGCCTCCTCCATGTCTCCTGATGTACTGGCCTGTCTCCTGGTAGCGCCTCCATGCTCTGGACACTACGCTGACAGACTCAGCAAACCTTCTTGCCACAGCTCGCATTGATGTGCCATCCTGGATGAGCTGCACTACCTGAGCCACTTGTGTGGGTTGTAGACTCTGTCTCATGCTACCACTAGAGTGAAAGCATCGCCAGCATTCAAAAGTGACCAAAACATCAGCCAGGAAGTATAGGAACTGAGAAGTGGTCTGTGGTCACCACCTGCAGAACCACTCTTTTATTGGGGGGTGTCTTGCTAATTGCCTATAATTTCCATCTGTTGTCTATCCCATTTGCACAACAGCATGTGAAATTGATTGTCACTCGGTGTTGCTTCCTAAGTGGATAGTTTGATTTCACAGAAGTGTTCCATCTAGTCTGCCCAATTTTCTAAATAATTTCATTAGTCCCTGGCAAGTTAGGATAGCCTTATGCCTATCCCATGCATACCTAAACTCCTTTACTGTGTTAACCTCTACCACTTAAGCTGGAAGGCTATTCCATACATCCACTACCCTCTCAGTAAAGTAATCCTTTCTGATATTATTTTTAAACCTTTGCCCCACTAATTTAAAACTCTGTCCTCTTGTTGTGGTAGTTTTTCTTCTTTTAAATATGGTCTCCTCCTTTACTGTGTTGATTCCCTTTATGTATTTAGATGTTTCTATCATATCCCCCCTGTCTCGTCTTTCCTCCAAGCTATATATGTTAAGATCCTTTAACCTTTCCTTGTAAGTTTTATCCTGCAATCCATGAACCAGTTTAGTAGCCCTTCTCTGAACCCTCTCTAAAGTATCAATATCCTTCTGGAGATACTGTCTCCAGTACTGTGTACAATACTCCAAGTGAGGTCTCACCAGTGTTCTGTACAATGGCATGAGCACTTCCCCCTTTCTACTGCTAATACCTCTCCCCAAGCATTCTGATAGCATTTCCTGCTGCTCTATTACATTGTCTGCCTACCTTTAAGTCATCAGAAATAATCACCCCTAAATCCCTTTCCTCAGATGTTGAGGTTAGGACTCTATCAAATATTCTGTACTCTGCCGTTAGGTTTTTACATCCAAGATGTATTATCTTGCATTGATTCAATGCTTTCCCATGAGGTAGTCCTAATGCGAGCGCTGCGCTTGCCGTGCATGCACATTAGGTGACCGAAGTTGGCTGACACTAGGGGAAGAGGAGCAGAGGGAAACCGGCACTGGATTCAGGTAAGTGAAAAAATAGTTTTTAACCCTTTCTGTGCCGCGGGTGGGGGTGCAAGCGAGGGGGTACTATTGGGTACTATAGTGCTAGGAATACAATTTTATATTCCTAGCCTATAGTTTCCCTTTAATGCAAGTGTAGCTGAACTGAAAGCATACCTGACTTACAGAATGTTTCCACTTCGGCTGGCAGTGAATTGAAAACTGAATTGCAAATTATAGACAAATCTAACTTTTTCCATATCTTTCATTTTGGTTATATTTTCAAGTATGCTTTACAATTCCTTGCAATTCTATATTTGAGCAGAATAATCAATTACTTTAATAAATGTATGTTACCTGGCATTCACTTAAACTATATGTGCCATGCTAAAAAATAACATGATGTCACTTAGGAGTGAATACAGTTCTATATATTGTGAGATATATTGTGCTATAATGCATACTTCATCCCTCCCAAAAGTCCTGGATTCTCAGGACAGTCCTGAATGTTGGTCCCTGTCCCTCTGTCTTGGGTTTGTTATTTGTTTACTGTAGCGGATGGCACTGGGCTGTCCTGCAAATGTCTTGTGAATAACTGCATTCGTGTGATCTGCTAGTTTTCTATGTGTTTAAAAGAATTGTATTCCTCTGATTGTTCGGTAGAATCATTCGAATAAACTAAGGGAATGAAACTACCGAACAATCAGACCTCCCCTGTGTTAAGTGTGTCCTCAATCACCCGTTGCAACATTGTTGTGAACGGGTAATTGACAAGTTAAGTAGCCGTCCTTTGTTCTCGGGGGTGGCCGCCATTCGACAAACGAACACGTGGCGGCGGCCATTTTAAAACTCCTGAACAGCGGTGTTTTGCCGTCGAGTGTCTGAACTCAAATCGGACACTCGACTAGGCGAACACCGCTGAAACCTCCACAAGCCCGGTCCGTTCGGTTCCAAACTACCGAACGGCCCCTCGTTCGGTAGATAGAAAGAACCGAACGAGGGGATTCAGGCGAACCCTCCCTAGCCTCTATAGCTAGAGGCTTTCGTGCAGTTTGTTCCCTTATTCCAGGACCGACCGCAGGGCCCATTCGCATGGAACTGTATTCGGCTATTTCAGTCAGTGCGGTCGGTCATTTTATTCCCTCCATAAATTTCCCGAACCCCTGGTCTGATCTGGGTGATTTTTGGATATGTTGTTCACCCAGATCAGGGCTATCAGGGGATGTAGGATTTAAAGGGGTACCCCTACGTTTAGGGGTACATCCAGAAACGGGGGGAATTGCTAGACTGGATAAGGGGATTATGATGCTGGCTGAGGGGAGGAGATGTGTGGGAGGTTACCAGGACAGGATTGGCTACTGTACTAATGAGTGTAAATCCCTCCCTTGCATGGGAGCATGCTTTAAAAGGACACTGTGGATTAAAAGAGTTCAGTTCTGCTCCTGAAACTGTGTGTCGTCCAGTTATTGGGATTGCTGTTGGGATATTACTGTTATTTTACCTGCTGGAAACCTTGCCTGTGGATTTACTATTTACTTGTTCCTGAGCCTCACTTGGATTATAAGCGGAGATAACCTGGGGAATATTGCATCTCCGCTACATTT